TAACAACACTAGTTCCACAAACTTCTTTAAAATGCACTTGAAATGGAAAGAAACGATTTAGAAAGAACTAAGAATTTAATCGACAATTTATTTTAACAAGTCAGAATAACAGATTCCATAACAACTTTCATGGCGAAAAAAAGATTCCATGATATTTATTTACAATGAAACAAGCAAAAGAATCCACGAAGATTTTGTAAAAGAAAAGTGAGTTAGCGCTTGTCTAACAGGGTGTGGGTGTGGGTATGAGTGAAGAGACAATAAACACCCACACTCACACTCACACCCACACACCCACACCCACCCACACCCACCCACACTCACACACACACCCACACACCCACACCCACCCACACCTACACTCACACCCACACCCCTGTTTTTCTTATTGGTGCTACAAATCGACTTGATTTAATCGATTCAGCTCTTTTCCGATCAGGTAACAAAACAAAGCCTTTATTCAAATACCTTTCAAAAATATGTTTAGATCGATTTGATCAATTAATTTATATTCCGCTTCCCGATGAAAAGGCTCGTTTTTCGATTCTGAAATCGGTTTTAAGGGAATCAACTGTAGCCGAAGATGTTGACCATGAGTATTTAGCTAGTGCTACGAAAGAGTATAGCGGTGCTGATTTAGAGGAAATATGTCGAAATGCAAGTTTATTGGCTACAAGGGAATCGATTGAGAGAAAGTGCCATTGAGATCAAGAACGACAGCAAGACGGGCAAATGGCACTTAGTTTACGTCGAAAACGTTTTGAAGAAGCAATGGAACTCGCAAGGCGATCAATTAGTGATGATGATATACGCAAATAGAGGTGTTAGCGCCGATTTTTCGTCGCCGCCGCCGCCGATAAAATTTTCATCCGTCGCCGCTGAATAGAACGTCTCGGCGGAGACTTTTCCGTCGCCGCCGATCGAGTGAAAGGTCACAGTGCAAGCTTCCTCTTTTTCTAAATTATCACTTGTTGATAATAATCAGTAACATCTCAAGTTTAATCTATGTGAGAATCAGAGATTGCTGAAACCAATAGAACTTTTAAAAAACAGGAATTAGTGTATTTTTTTGGACTACATATGGTCTGAAAACCGAGCTGATAAGCAAATATATCTCCTTGTGATTTTGTGACGCTACCATATTTATTAGGTCCTCATTTGCCTTGTTCCTTCATGCACAATAGATTCATCGCTATTATTTTCTCCGTTTCGCGATTGTGGACTTATTCAGTATGCAGTGTCGACTAATTGTCTAGTTTGAGTTCGAATATAAATGTAACTAACATTGCCATTCGAATTCCAATCGACACTCTCCTGCCAGTTTAGAAAAAAGAAAAATATTTAGTTTGAATTTGAGTTCGAATAATCAATAAAAACAAATCTTGCTCTCTTTCTCAACTCACAGAAAAGTATTGATTTGAATTTGAACTCAAATTCTAATTTCAATGTTAGTTTCACTTATGATCCAACTCGAGCTATCATAGGAATGGCACCTTATGTTTATTTTACTTTGAAAAAAGTAAAGTAAAGTAAAATACTATAGTTTGAATGTGGAAAATAAAGTGAGATAAAGTTAACCAAATAATATTTTTCATGTATTCACAAAAAATCGACATTTTTCGGCTTTACTTATTTCTTTCAGACTAATTTTAAGACGAAACGATATTGAATAAACTTTGATACGTTCTAAGATTATGTATATATGACCTTGAACTAAGAAATTGCCAAAAAATTTAAAACATACAACTTCATTTTTTTCACTTTACTTTATTTTACTTTTTGGGTAGAGTATATTTACTTTACTTTACTTTTTGGGTAAAGTATATTCACTTTACTTTATCCGGTAAAGTAAAGTTCAAATACATTACTTTATTTGGCAAAAGTAAAGATAAAGTGCCAGTTCTAAGCTATCATGTTTGAATTTAATTTGTATTTTAGATGGATAGTCACGTTACTGCCATTTTGGCTTATATCATGAGTTATTGCTGTGTGGTTTGAAGTTATTTTATGACGGAACAGTGTGAATTTTTTGAATTAATAGAAATAAAGTTACATGTAGTGGAAAAATTTTTGCATAAAAAGACATGAGCGTGCTAACAGGAAAACAGCATTATAATTCTGTGAGAACAGAACGTCTAATGTTTGTCTTAACGATAGCGACTTACGAAAGACCCTGTGAAATAATATAGGAAAAATTTTGTCGTCGCCGCCACCGCCGAAAACTACCTCCTCGACGAGAGCTCCCTGCCGCTACCGCCGCCGATCAAATGATCGGCTAACACCTCTATACGCAAATATGAAATGCTTGCTGAAGCATTACAAAATTCTGGAAGTTTTGGAAGAAAATTTCGTTTTCCCAACTAACAATGAAAAAAGAAACCTATCATTGGTTTTCTCTATTCTAGATTCTTCGTTTTATTTTGTTCGAATGGCAG